TTTTATGGTGTGCCAGTGTGGTAGAGTGTGAACTAAGACAGTCTTGAACAAACAAATTTATACTTGTTGCACACAAGTCTTAACAACCTGCCCAAGGTACATTTTTTTTAAAGATTTCGACCGCCGATTTCATCATCACGTTCGCTCTCGAGAATATTATGATGACGAACAACGACACAGCAAAACGCGGTGGTTAATTTGAACAATATTGCCTACGTGCATTTGACGCCACTGAAGCGTCCTTTCGCCAGAGGGTGCTGTTTATAGGGTCGGTGAGTTGAGACTGTTCATTTTTCACGTTGACAGACACAGAATAGTGGTCTTGCGTGACTAAAGGGTGCTGGCCGTCGCGCCACGTATACACGAGATATAGGACACATATGAACAAAAATGTAGATTTTGACTGCTGCGCCGACCAATGAGTTCAAACTGAGACGTTACTAAGCTTTAACGATGTATTTGGGGGGGGGGGGTGATTGGAAGGTATCGAAGTGCCTTGGTCAAAATACTTACTCGTTATTTCCATTAAAAGAACGTTGTGGATTGTGGAAAAATCAATGTTTATCAACACAATTATCGCACATGCGCAGCGCGACGACCACCGTCCTTTAAAATAAAACAATATGCACACGAGTTGTAAGAATAGGCATGTCAAACATTTATTACATCAACGCTCCAATATAATAAATTATAATATCAAATAGATAAAAATATAATAAATACGATGAAAAAAATACTGTTAATCTGATTTATAAATATATTGGATTCTATGTTAACATTCCAAATTTTTGTTTACTGGCATACGTAAAAAAATAATAATTGTCACAAATTATAGACAAATTCTGATAATTATTATTCGTTAATAGATATTCCCCTATGAAAGGAATCATATAAACGTTTTCATTATTACAGGAATTCTCTTGATGACCAAGACTGAAAATAACCAATTTCACAACAATTCTGAAACAAAATATGTGATAAATATTTCCAGTAATAGTATAGAGCTTTATAACAACTGACAACTGTCTTTAAATTAATTTATTCGAGCGATGACACTCATTGCGACTGTTCGATTATATTGATGGAATACACTTTGTTTCGGATGAATGCTCTGCGTCGACGATATTTTGTTTATCTCCTTCACATTTCAGCGATTCTTCTATTTGCGCCATTTCAATTTCTGACTATGTTTCTTCAGTCAATTCATTTACCGTTGGTTCTTTTGGCTCGTCAGTCTTGTCAACTGCAATAGACAAGTGTCTTTCTGTTGGTTCTTTCAAAGCCAGTCGTGGAGCCTCGAATATCAGCACACCCTCCCCTGTAAATTTAGAGGTCAGGGATGTGACGTCAACGTCTTCCGGAATGGTGAACTCACGAGTGAAGGTATACATGCTATACACATTACCGTCTGTGTCGGTCTCCGTTGATTCGCCGGTCACCGTGAGAACATGGTCGGAAAGTTTGACCTTTAGGTCATCGGGATTGACGTGACCAACATCTACAGCCAAAGTGAAGTTCCTCGCCTTTTGTTCGATGTGGCGCTGCTTAATTTTTTTTGGTAGAACAGTAACAGCTTCTCCACTCACAGCCTCCTGTTTGGTCAATTTGCGTTTGACGGGAGCTTTTCGTGGCGTTCTGGCGTGCCAATCGTCGCAGCTGGTTTCAGGTTTGAGGAGTTCCTCTAACATGGCGTCGGCAAGCTCAAGGCCCTGCCGACCTGA